CTCGGGACCTATAAAAGCTGCGGGGCTGAAATTTCGGGAACTTAATCTACATGCACGTACCGCCCCTAATCCCCAAAATTGGCGCCAAAACTGGTACCCGCGTACGGGCCCGCCAAAGTTTTTTAGGGGTCAGTTCATAACTCGAGGATCTGAGAAGCTAGAAGGCTAAAATCTTGGAGTAATGTTCCCCGCCCAAGCGGCTATTAGTGGGCTCAAACTCAGCCCCCGGTTAAGTGTGGTACCCGCGTACGGGCCCCCAAAATTTTTCCCGCGTAATTCATAACTCGGGGTTCTGAGATGCTAGAAAGCTGGAATTTTAGGGGAATGTTCCCCGTCCAAGTAGGTGCTAATGAGTTCAAATCCAGCCCCCGCGTAAGCGGCACCCGCGTACAAGCCCGCCAAAATTTTTTTCAGGTTAATTGATAACTCAATTACCTGAGAAGCTAAAGGAATGTAATTTTAAGAAGACATACCCCATCCGCCTAAGTTTCATTCAGCTCTAACCCAGCTCTCAGGCATGCTTGGTAAACATGCACGGGCCCGTGAAAATTTTGTTTCAGTAAGTTGCTAACTCAGGTGTCAGGGAAGCTAGAAGACTGGAATTTTGAGGGGATGTTTCCTGACAGTTCTGGTGGCCGGTCTTAATTTGTTTAGCTAGAAGGATCTGCCGAAAAAACCGATGCCGGTAGCGACAAAAGCTGCGGGGAACTGTGCAAAAAAAGCATCTTCGCACGGGCAGCCCGTGCGTTGGCCAATTATCTCAATTTGTTTAGCTAGAAGGATCTGCCGAAAAAACCGATGCCGGTAGCGACAAAAGCTGCGGGGAACTATGCAAAAAACGCATCATCGCACGGATAGCCCGTGCGTTGGCCAATTATTTTTTACATGCTGGGAGATGTGGCCGTTGGATAAGGTAGTAAATAGTGTGGTACTATGGGACTTTGGGCAATTTTAGCTTTCTGGCTGGTGAGGGGAAGATGTAAAGAGTTGTCGACTGTTTGCAACATAAAATTCGTTTTGCTGTACATAAGATGTAGTGTTCGTGGAAGGCAAACTTTTGCCTTTTCGCTACCGCTCAGAATGAAACGTTCTCAACAAAAATTACAGCTTTTAAGCCCATATGACTAATGCAATAGATGCAATTTGAATAATTGACATGTACGAACTGAAGCACATACATAAGTATTTTTGTGGACTCTCTCACAGACACACACACAAACACACAGAAATGTTGATCCTACTTGTAAAATACAACTTCCTATTCAATTTAAAACGGAACCCCCTCTTTTCCAGCATTGCTCTCTAAATGTATAGTGCACGGAACTCGAGGAAATGCTAAATCCACAAACGGTTGCGCGGCCAAACCGAGTTCTAGTTGTTTCCTACCGCAGTTACTTCCCTGTCTCGAATCTTTACAGTTCAAATTTGCGCGATACCGCCCATCTTTTCCACCCATAATCGCTCATAGTTAAGCTACCCATATGTGCGGATTCAAGGCAGATCCCTGCAGGGGATTGGCAACAGGGGCTTGAGACGGGGTGGGGGGGAGGAGGGGGGAGGAACTCTCTCCCATTCTAGAACTAAGCAAACACTAGGAATAGAGTTGTAACACACCGCTATTTAGAGTTAGTTTAGTTTTATTTATTAACAGACCCAGGCTTTTGCAGCGCTGGTGCTCGTGCTGGAAGGGTGGGAAAGGGGAAGCAGAAGACCCCCGCACTTCCCACTCTTCCCTCCCGGGCCCGTTTATACTCGATGGACTTCACCGATCGCTGACAACCAGTTCACGCAATTCGCGCCTCAACCGAGTTGAAGCCGAGTCGAGTTTTAGCAGTTGCTTGCCGAGCGTGTACGTGGTGAGGTTAAGTTGTTGTTTGGCTGGTGTGGCGCAGAGTGCGAAGAACAGGCAGGTTCTGTAGTTGGGTGCAGGTGGCCTGGGAAATTTGCGGTGATTCTACCTTGGGGGTGGGGGTTCCCAGAGTGCCACGTGTCTGCTGCCCTGCTCTGGCCATCTTCGACTGGCCTCTGTTTCGGTGGCTGGTGGTTTTGTTTGCTGTTTTCGGTTGCCTGTTTTTTGTCAATTTCGGAGTGTTGCTGGTCGATTTGCTAGTACGGTACGGGTGAACACTACGCGTGGACGCGTCTCATTTCAGGTCTTTTTCTTCTGGATGGGCGCCGTGGTCAGCAGCGACTCGCTGGTCGAGCAGAATGAGTATGTGCGACGTTTCGTCGGTTTGCAGCCGATCAGTGACAACGATCCATTCTGGAACCATTTCCTCTCGTTCAATCTTCGCATAAACTGCAACGACAGGTGATCTTTGTATAAAAAGTGCCGAGACTGTTATTATCTCTATCCTCGATACTGGGCTCTTCTCTACACGTAGCTGTGCCATCCCTGCAGCTCCACTGGTTCTCTGGTACCACTGGCCAGTGCATCTGGCATCAGTCGATTGCCACTGAGATGAGCAGCACGCCCTGTTCATTAAAAAGTCGCGCAACCTGCACGCCACTGAACTGACAGTTGTTTATCTGGGTACGATACAGGCATGTTTTTTTTTCCACTCGCTCTTTCTCTCTCTCTTTCTATCTGTCACCGTATTGTTCGCTGTTTTGCATTCGTCGTTGTTTGCATTGCGCATCTCTACGCTACTGCCATTTGGGCAGTTGTACTGACGGGATGGGTACGGTCGTTTCGGTTTGAGACATCGAAGAGGGTAGAGGTACTGCGAGCTACCAGCCCATTGGCTTGCAGTTTCCGGGTGGAGGTACTCCCTGGCCAAGGTAGATGTAGCTGTCAATTCGTTCAAGACAATTACGTGAGTTAGACGACAGCGTGCTGCATTTTTCTCTCGATTAATATGCAAGTTAGGGGCAAGGAAAAAGTTTCTGCCTACGTTTGTTTTCTTAACAATTTGCACGCAGCTTCCATCGTACAAGGGTCTGTTGCAGCACCCAGTGCTTTTCAAATGCTTCTTTGTAATCGATGAATATGAGAGAAATTTGATAATATTTTTCGCCTTTGGTTTGGGGCCGCAAATGTTATCCACTGCCGCGTAATTATTTCGGAATCCTGCTCACTGATGCAGTCTTTTTTTTTGGCTGAACAGATTGTGAAAACGAGAAATTAAGCAATCGGAAATAGTTATCTTTTCACATCTTTTCTCTCACATTTTTTGCCCACTAAAGTGGTTTTCGACTCTGTCCAACCGCTGGAACGATAGTTCGTGTAGCCGAGTTCCGGGTCAATCGAATGGCGAGACTCAGATTTCGTGAATGCTTTCACTGCATGGAACCTTTCCATTTTTATGCGTTTTTGCTGTGCAACGCTATAGCGCTGCTACAGCCAGCAAAAACGCATATTATCGAGAGGCTGTCTATGTGTGTGTTCGAAAAGCGAGTGCATTTTGTCGCCCACTTTCAACTCGGCAACCAGAAAAGCTGGGGGGCTGAAACTTCGGACATATGTTCCCACCCCGTATGTCATCCTCCCGTTTTAAGATCTTCCTCCATACGCGCCTAAACCCCGCGCACGAGACCCCCAGAGAAATTTGTTGGCGGGAAACGATTTCGCGAACCAGGCAACGTAGAAGGCTGAAACTTCGCAGGGATATTCTCTATGCACGTACGAGACAGAGGTTTTAAACTCAGCCCTCTAGCTCCCTAACCACAGCCTCAGGAGCTCCTGAA